ATTTACTGGCGAACATCCCGAAAAAACAGCGATACGCTATAGTGCTGTCATACTTGAATTAGCTCCTGAAGCTTAATCCCTTACAAAAGTATCGGTACAAAACACTTAACATTATTTCAATGCATTCAGGATATGACGGTATCCTGGCTGTTCGGCGTCTCTGGAGCCACATTGGGCCAATGTGCCTTGAATCTGGGAATGCTTGTTATGTCACCAATAATGATCTCAGAAATTTGCCCTTACAACTCTAGGCCTGCTATAACACAGGTAAACATATGTGAATATGTAAATATGACAATAACTTGTCCGTTTTGAATTCTTAGCCAATTTTGTTTGCAGCAACAGTTCTCTGATTGGTTTTAGTTCACACAAGTGCTTCCGCCTCTGCTTGCCATCTTTGAAGTAGCTGCATTTCCGAGCCTTGTTTCGAGTTTCGGGGCTGAGCTATTCTTCTTACTCTCTAGCTGCTGCGCCGTGTTAGCTGTGCTTCTTTTAAAGCAGGTACAGATGTTGGTTATTCCGTAATTTTTTAAAAGTTGTTAAATTAGTTTTACTAGCTGCCACTCAATTCTCGCTAATGCGAAGGACTTCGTCAAGGATGTCATCCTACTTTTTTATTTTGACAAGTGACACAAATATAGTCATTTTTGTAATAGACTATGCAGTAAATCTCAGCATCGTCGGATATAGTTGTTTTTCTGGATATCCAATCCTTTTTCTTATCCAAAGAAAGTGTATACATGCAACCGGATTACTTCTGTGTCCATCTGTGTATACATATATAAAGAGTTTTTGTGGGAAAAATTTTGAGATATACATCTAACTTAGCCAAGCTGCCCGTATTTGTGCTCATATATTTTGAAAATACTTGCTGATTTAAGATGTTAGCCAACGTGTGCGTGCCTCAGGTAGAAGACTAATTCGTTTCTCTATAGCGCGACAAACTCTGTTTGTCCTTTCGATATTAAAGCAGTCTCAGCCACTCGTATCATCCTGAAGACAAGGAAAAGCAGTACCTCATTCGAGTGCATGGGGATTTCGGAGTTTTTT